CTGCTGTCCCACAGCTGGCTCTGGGGGGCGGGAAGGCGCTAACATAAGGTGCTGATTAGCAGAGTAAACTGCCGGCCCTGATTATCCGCCCGGGAATAGAAACACTTTCACTGATTGCCAGCTCCGGAAATTACAGCCTCATAAACGATAATAGATTCCATAGATCCTGGGTTTAACCCCCCCAATGCCACCATGTAGAGCCATGAGCCCATCTACCCCAGTATCCCGCCTTGTTCCTGCCACCCCTGATCAGAGCCATGGTCCATCTATCCTGGTATCCCACCCTGTTCCTGCCCCCCGATCAGAGCCACGGGCCCATCTACCGCAGTATCCTGCCCTGTCCCTCCCATCCCTAGTCAGAGCCATGAGCCCGCCTACCCTGGTATCCCGCCCTCTCCCTTCCCCTCTCCCCACCAGCAGAACCATGGTGCACACACACATACACAGTCATCGCTCCAAAATGCTGGAAGATACATTCCAGTGCTTCCCGAAAAATTTAACCCCCAAACCTACCCCTCAGCCCTGCCTGCGCCCCAGTAGATACACACATCCCACAGCGCTCAGCTGGAGGAAAACAGACAGAGGCATCCTAGATACACACACCAGTGCATTCTCCTCCCAGAGCTGGGTATAGTCCTGGCTCTCAACCACTCCCCTGTTCTAACCACTAGGCCCCACTCCCCTCCCAGGGCTGGGCCCCAGCCACCCAGCCAGTCCCGCTGCATGAGTCCTCATTCATCTGCTGTCTCTGCTCTCACCCCCCCCTTTTCCCTGCCTCGCCTCGCCCCCCCCCCTTCCCCTGCGCCTGCTGGAAGTGTATTGATTTCCTCTCCCCCCTGGGGCCGCGCCGCCGCGCTGGCCTCTCTCGCTTTCATTCTTTCCTGTCTCGCTCACGTCTCAGCTGGAGGGAAACATGGAGCCCTACATGGCCCTGGGGCGCTGGGACATGCAGCCACCCACCTGCAGGCCCTGCTCCCCACCCCAGATGGGCCATGGCCGCACCGCGTGAGGGGTTCCCAGTTATCCAGCTCCCCACCCCAGAGGGACCATGTCTCAGTGCTGTATACTCAAACCCAGCTTCCCATCTCAAAAAGGCCAGGACTCTGCTCCAAGCAAGGGGTCCCCTGAGGAGCTGTGTCCCAGAGCTGGGTGAGGGCTCCCCGGAAACCCAACCCCATGCCCACCCCAGAGGGGCCACGTCTCAGTGCTGGGTGAGGGGTACTGTATACCCAGGCCCACCACTGCACACTACAGGAGCCATGGCTCCAAACCTGCTGCCCCATCTCAGAGGGGCTGTGAGTCACTATCAGGTGATGGGTCCCCAGATATCCAGCCCCCCACCTCAGAGGGGCCATAACTCGCTGCGGGGTGATGGGGGGGCCCCTGTCCCACTGGGGGGGCCACATCTCAGTGCTGAGTGCCCAGGGTAGAGGCTGTATCTTTTGTGCAGTCAGGGAGCAAAGGGACTTTTTTCCGGTGGTTCTTTCTCTCTGTCTCCCTCTGCCCCCTCCTCCCTCTTTTCTGGATCCCAATCAAGGGGCTGGTCTCACTCGCTGCAGCTGGTTCAGATCAGCCATGGCAGAACAGCTAATAGCCCGGCTCTCTGCTTCTACCAGGGCAGGGGAAACAGTCTCATAAATACCTATTAGAGGGTTATTCTGGGAACTAGAGCAGGGAGTGGGGTGGGGGGATCGTGCCAGAGAGCTGGGCGGGGGGAGAGGAAAACAGGCAGACAGAGGCCTTGGGGAGATGAGGGAGATGGGCGGAGGGACAGACAAGGGAACAGGCAGAGACATGAAAAGACAGGAGAAAGGATGGACAGAGGCAGGTGCAAGGATGGACAAGGTGACAGAGGAAAACAGGCAGACAGAGGCCTTGGGGAGATGAGGGAGATGGGCGGAGGGACAGACAAGGGAACAGGCAGAGACATGAAAAGACAGGAGAAAGGATGGACAGAAGCAGGTGGAAGGATGGACAAGGGGACAAGTAAAGGGATGCACAGAGAAACAGGCAGAAGGATAGACAAGGGGATGGTTGGAGGGATGGACAGAAAAACAGGTAGAGGGATGGACAAAGGGACAGACAGACATGGACAGAGATAGGTGGAGGAATGGACAGAGGGACAGATGGAGGGATGGACAAGGGGACAGGTAGAGGTATGAACAGAGATATAGAAGGCAGGATGAACAGGACAGGCAGAGATGGATGGAGAGACAGGCTGCCTGTTGCTGAAGTGTCAAGTGGTGCTGTTTGATAGTGAGTACAGTGCTATGCATTGGCTGTAATATCAGTGTACCTTCCTCACACCTCTAATCCGAAGTTTCTGTAGTGTAGGTATAGCGTGATAGGACACTTGAGTTGTGTAGCTCTAGTCTGTACAAATATAGACACTGTGTGACCGTGTATTAGGGAAATATGTAAATACAGCCTGAAAATCTGATGATATGCACCTTCAGTGAGAACGTGAGTTTATTATGTTGTGTAGGTACAGTGTGAAGATGGGTAACTGTAATGTCTGTGTTAATGTCTGTGTTATTGGAGTTTGTGAGTGTGTTTTATATGGAGGTGTAACCACCATGGGAAATGTAAGTACACCATGACTTTGCATTGTTGCTGGTGCATAGGCACAGTCTGTGGATGTATGGATACAGTCTGAAAATATATTAGATTGTATTGTAAGTACAGTGTGGAGGGATGTAGGTGTCAGCGCAGTGGGAAAGTATGTAGCTTCTGCCTGACAGTAAAAAGTTGTGTCCCTACATTGTGAACATGTGTAGGTACAGCCTGAAAATGCATTTATAGACCATGTATTGGTAGATAATGGTGTATAGTTACACTGAGGATGGTTGTACGGATTGTCTGGACAGGTGTGTAAAGACAGAATAAAGGGGTGAAGCTCCAGCATGAAAGCATGTAGGCACAGTCTGAGGGTATTTATGATGATATGTAGCTCCCGTGTGAAGGTGTTTTTATGATGGGTGGAGGGACAGACAAGGGAACAGGCTTGACGGGTGTAGGTTGTGTGTGTGTGTGTGTGTGTGTGTGTGTATGTTACAGTCAGAAAAGATGTGCAGCTACAGCATGCCAACGTGTAGGTACAGCATATTTATGAGGGTGTGGTGGCACAATCTGAACATCGTGTGTCTCTCAGAGCATATAAAGTTACATTTCTCAAGACACTCTCTCTGCACTCGTGTAATACTGCTGGCAGAGTTGCGACATGCAGAGTATATTGGGTGGGTTGTTGACTACATGCCATATTGGCCATGTGCACAGATGCACT